CCGACCTTTTCACTAAATTCCTAATTATGCATGCATGCGCATAAATGGCCTTGGTGGCAAGAAGTGTGAGCAGGCCATTGAAGGTATTGGGGTGCGACTTTGATGATCATTCTATTTCATGTACATGGCCTACCATTGAACCTGCTCATAGTTTGGAGTGATACCGAAGGAAATGGCATCCAGTTGTGTTTGGGTTTGTACGAAAAGACAAAGTGCAGATTCAAAAGAGAAAGGGATCTGGTTCTTCAGATTTCTCAAGTGCAGAAAGTAGTGAATTGAATAGGTACATGTACAGTACATGTACACTGAACATCAGTACGTGTTTACAAATGCACGGGTTGCTCCAAAAAAACTAACGATGTAATTTATAGTAATTACCGGTGTGATGGAAGGGGCCATGCTAATTAGAAATGGCGATCTTGGGCGCACAGGAAAAATCCGTTTTTTACATGTACATGTAAAGTCTTCTTATAGAGCGATTAAAAATCCCGCTTAGATTAGAAACTAATAGCAAAATGATTTAATGAAGAAAAAACTGAACAAAGCCAGAAAAGCTGAGAGAAAAATGATCATCAAAGTTGCACCCCTATACCTTTTCAATGGCCCGCTCACACTTCTTGCCGCCAAAGCTGTTTGTGCGCATGCGTGCATAATTATGAATTTAGCAGTGAAAAGGTCTACATGTGCATGCACTGTACATACATTAATGACAAGTGTTAAAGATAAGTGTGTGGTACACATACATGTACATGTATACATGTACAGTGCGTGCTGATAGTGAATCTCATCAAACATGTCAAAACTGGCTTTGAAAGATACATTCATGTGCACAGATGTACATAAAAGTCTGTCTGTACATGGCACCCACATTGGATGTTGTGAAATTGTTCATGGTCTGCTGACTACAAGTACATGTGGCTGCTGATCCTTGCACCTGTTCATATGAGTGTCTGTCCATGTTAATGGACTCAACTCAGTAGTTTCATCCATCACTGAATTGAATGTTGTGTAGTTTTCATCAGAACTTAAGTATAATGCCACAAAAGTGATTAATGTTGTTGAGTTGTTGTTAAATAAATAAGACATTTTTTTAATCATCTCCGATTTTGTTTTACCTTTATTAAAAGAAAATTTGAGAAACGTCCGATTCAAAGGTTGTGCTTAAGTGTGACACTTTGGGGACTTTGGGGATAATAATAAACACACCGGTCCCCCAATAGGTCAAAAATTCTACATGCAACTTGTAGAAAATGTGACAGCCAACATTTATGTATGGACATATATGTTTTCCAAAAGAAAATGTTTGATTAAAATTGGAAACATTTCATTTGGTAGTTACATGTACATGTACTTTTGCAACAGCATCCATCAAGAATGTTATGAAATTTTTTTTTTCCCAATGGGAAAATTCACTATCGAAAAATTGGCGACATGGCATTTCAGACCAGGTAACAGACGAATGGCAAACAGTATAGATTAATTTTTTTGTGGAATGACTTCCATTTTCTCAAAACGGGAAAAAAAGGTCCAGGGGTGAGATTTCTGTCTATTTTTATTACGCTTGCAATGCACACACACTTCCCGCCAACTTACACATTTTGTGGAACTTAAGCTGGTGACTGAAACGTAGTATATACAGAGTACCAGTCTACTTTGAGTTTGTTTGTTCGTATGGAAACTTCAAGACATGAGATTGTCACCGTCCAGCAGGTCATGACATCCAGGTAAAGGTTACATACGTGAAAAAAAGGAGCTGAACTTTAACATTGTATTGCACTTGTTCTGTTTAAATTCATTTGTTGTTTTTTTTTCAAATGATCCGAATACAACGTCTACCATGTGTGTTGGAAATATAATGAGTTTTATGATGGAAATTTGCCATATAATGTAAGCTGGTAATGTGTTGACTTAAACAGACACACACTCAAAAATCAGTTGTACTATGGTGGACATCGTAAAATATGAATGTGCGCTAGAGTGGTTGTGTTATGGCATCCGTTAATCGTTCCATGAGGACTAAAACACAGAGCATTTGTCCAAAACCTCAACAGCCATGGCCGGCTGTGGCCCTGGTCAGAAAAGTGGCAGATCGGGGAGGGCTTTGCCATGGGATGGCTTCATCATGCTTAACTTGTCTCCAGTTCGTATGAAATTGCTTACGAATATTTCACATGATTTTGATTGATTTTTGAAAAAAGATTATTATCAAAACAACTGGAAATAATGCACCATTACTAGAAAATCTTATTTCTCAGGTTTTCAGTCACTTTTTTGCGTGGCAACAGAAATTGGTCATGATCATGGAATTTAAACATGGGCAGCTCCATAAGCAAGTGGAGTTTACGTGAACTTTTTTCTATTTCCAATTTGTTTTTGTGTACTCATTTCCAGTCTTTGTCATTAGTTTTTCTTCATTTTTATCTGTAATTTCCCTAAAAAAATTCAAATTGGACTCTTTCCAAAAAGTTGTTCTCTCATCCTTATTGTCAGTGCAGTGGGTGTGAAGTGGCATTGTTGTCTGATAGGACTAAGGTGCTGAACTTGCTAAACATGCTGAAGCACGACGGCACCTAAACTCCTTAGCTTTACCCCAGAACTGTTTCTTTTTGAATATCCTTTCTATATATTAACAGGAGAGCATATTAAAATATTCCAAACAATGTAAAAAAAAATAGACATGCTTGAAGACCATTGGGAAGTTTCAAACTATTTTCTTTTTTATTACTTTTGCCATCAGATAAATATGTATGTGTACACATGTACACGTATAACTTTCATCTGTTTTGCAATAGCTGTGTCTGTGATTTTTTTGTCTCTTATTTTTTGAAGGGTAATAATGGTGAAATTGCGGAGTGACCCTGCAAGGGGAGCCTTTAGGCTCAAAATCTGAAGCTGCAGCTTTAGTTGCCGGGAAGTACCTGGAGATAATGAAAAAATTCAACCCCTCAAAATATTGTGAATTTCGAGCCCGAGAAACCCAGACAAATCATTGCTTGTTCGTCTATATGTACAACATGTACATGTATGTTACAAACATAGTGGTTGAAAGTCCGTCCATGTTACAAAAATAAATTTCTTAAGACATTTGCTCTTTTATAACACAAGAAATACGTCAATAATTATCTTTAAATTCAACTGACATATCCTGTGATGGGTAAAGATGTCACGCACCAAAAAGCACTGGGGACAAAATACATTCATTTCTAGGGGTCTTTGTCACACCAATTACATCCATTAGTGTGTACAACCCATGTACATGTATATGCATAAATGTACATGTAGATAGGTACATGTACATGTACATACCTGTACATACACGTATGTACATGCATAATGCCCTGCAAATTTGCTAACCAGCTTTTTCATCACCAGGAAACTGCAGCAGGAATGAGAGCATAAAATTACACTATAGCCAAACTCACAAACTAAAAATGACTTTTTCAAAACCATTCACCATATCACCCTTTATGTTAGAAAAAAGCATTGCATACAACTTCTTCATTCTCTTCCCCAGAGGTGTCAAGAATTGCACGTACGTACAGACCATATGTCAATGCTTCCGCTAACGACAACACAATCAATACAAATATCAGAACAAATACATATGTACAAATCAACAAAAGTAGAAAAGTGTGACTGGAAACACAGCAGGCAGACTGGATGTGAGAAGATTATCACCATCCAAAATCCTCACACATTTTTCCCAAACAAAATGAGAATGCTGTTAAAAGTAAAAATGCTGCAATTGTTAATTTTTCAGTATTATACTCAGAGGCAATGGTGGAAGCATTTTGTGGAAGCAGACAATGGTACCTTTGAGTGATTGAATTGCTGTTTAAATGAACTTGGTTTCACATGTAACAGAGACACCACACCATTTTCCTCAATGTTGGTAAACGTACATGTACATTTCCATTCGGGGGGGAGGGCTTCAGTTCCCATCAAATAAATTTATAGCAACAAGTGTGACACACTCTTATTAACCACTTGCTGCCAGGGGCAGTTATCAATGTGGATGATGCTGGTCCAGGATAATTATCGGTTTTTTTTTGTTTTCAAAATTCGTTAAAAATTCTTATCTTCATTTACTGAACACTTACAAATGCGTGAAGGACTGTCTGGTGCCACTCTAGCCTGACAGACAAAATCTATTGACGGCTGAGTATTTCAGCCAGGCCTGCAGCCTTGTAAAAAGAGTGCTGATTGTGCGGTGTTATATCAGTTGCTTTTGTTCACGAACCTGCCTCAGTGCGCTGCTGACCTCTTTTCAATAGGGGCCAGATTAGCATGCAGCGGTGCTGTGTGGCTCATCGCTGTGGTGTTGGAGCGCATTTGTCCCCGGTGGTAATCCGCTTGCTCTTAATGCCCCAAACCATAGTATACTGTTTCAAAACAAGGCTGGATTATTATCTCCACTTTTGAGACTGAAAAAATGTCTGTAATGCCAAGCAGCCTGGTCTTTTGTTCCGAGTACGGCCTTTTATCATAAGGCCCTGTTCCCTTTGTCCGAGTTCGGAAACCCCGGCCACGCAAAGCATAGTGTCTGGATCTGGAATCCCCAGGCAGGAAATGGTTAATCTGTAGCTGCTTGGGAAATTAACTTCTAGCTGTATTTTTAACTCTTAGCGGAGAAAACTGGTAATGGATGCCAAATTTTAAAAGGGTCAATCAACCGTTTTCACAATTTACAGAGAGTCAAGTAATATTAAGTTTTCCTTAAAACTAGTTTGGATGGTGTTCTGTGTTCTCTAACATGTACATGTATGTAGGAGAAAAATGTTTTATCGAAATGGACACAAATGTTTTGGTGTCTGTGTTGGGTCAAACCAACTGTTCTCCAATGTACCTTAATCAGGCATCCCTAGTTTGCATGGCAAATGCAAAAGCATAAAATCTCAGCATCTTGAGGAGCCCTGTCTTGTCAATTCAAGACAAATGCTGACAGTCTCTTTTCAAACGTGGGGCAAACCCATTCCAACTAACATGTACGGGACTGGTACCTGAGATGGAGTTCAAGATTTCCTTCAGACGAGAGAAGCTTCCTAGCAAAGGGTCCTGTTCCTCTTCCTGTACATAAAAAACAGACAGAAATATTCACTTCTCTGGAAGTGAAAGAGCCGACAAACAAACCTTCACTGCATGTGTACATTGTACATGTACATAATACCTTCTTTGACTATTGCACATGTATACAAGTACATGTAGCTCACAAAGTTGTTGAGGGTTCTCCCCAGGATTTTTCAAAACTGTGGGGGATTTCCATTGTGGTTTACCAACATTTTGCGAAGCCATGGCGTGGGTTCGGACCCCGCCCAAGGGCCCCGAAAATTTTGGGACTTTAGATGCTCTCAGCTGCATTTTAGAGCATTTCCTGGGTTTTTCAAGTACCTTTTGTCAGGAAAACACATAACAAATGCAATATATTTTTTAAATTTTGGATATTAGTATTTTAACAAATGACCAGTTTCCTTTCTGGACTACTACCGGGTAATTAGGCCTTTAGGCACAAATGGAGTCATTTCAAGTTTCAGACATGCAACAACATGTAGTGGCTGTCTAATCAATGATATAAACAGCCGTTTATTCAGTTTTAATTTTAATACATGCTTCAACCTTTCTGTTTTGCTGATCAGACCTGAAACCATGAGCTCCATTCAGTTGTAAGGCAAAAATATTAGCATATAAGGAATAAACAAATATCATAAAAATATAAAAATGATTTTGTCTTGATATAAAATAAACAACAAGGCTTTTCTTGTATATCGGCAAGAAAGAATACCCGCTGCAGGTGGTTGCTTCGTTTGGATTTCCCTCCGCGCGGACTGCTGAAGTTATTGGCTTAAAAAAAGAGCCTATCTTTGATTGAAGTTCTGCCATTGTGCGCGAGACAAAAAAACGGTGATATGGCAACGAGAAATATAGTCCCCGTTGTAGATGCCATTAATACTCTTACACAGGGCGACGGCTGCCGCCATGAAAAAAAAAACGTGTGTGGGATCGATGTTGTAAGTTCTGTGTATAGTACATGGAAAAATGCAGGACTAAACTGTTTTTTTATCTATATTTTCCAGACATGCAATCTGCATTATGTAAGATAACTCTGAGCCATACTCTCACAATTATATTGTGTGTATCGGGGATGAAAAAATGGGTATTGGCCGTTTTTTGCATATCGGGCAGAAATAATTGCGTATCGGGCCCGATACGCAAGTTTGTCCATGGGGAGAACCCTGTTGATAATCAAACTGACCATCACACATCCATCTGAGCAATTACCTTTTAAATCAAGTGAAAGCTGGCTTTGTTACATGTGGTGCACGTGTATACATATCAACACAACTTGAGGTACATGCCGACAGTTACAAGTATACATCGTACATGCTGTCTTTCAAAATGGATTGGAGGCAAATAAAATTATCTTATTTAATTTGTAAAGGGTCCGGGTGAATCAGTTGTAGGAATCATGTAGGCATGCTCTTTGTACTTCATATTCTTATTATGAAAGCAGTTTGATATCCTTCGGGAGGTTCAGTGTATTGTAAAATTGAATTGAGTGTATTGAAAAACTGCATTACATATGTAGACACGAAGTCAGAGCTTACTAATGGCATACATTCAAGGATTTCCAAGCCAGACCAAGGTATTAAAAAGCCAAGTTCTGCCAATTTTATCAAGAAAGCCTGTCACTTTTTTTTATTTCAACCCTTAAGAAAAACAGCTCAAACAGAAGATTGAAAAACGTGCCAAAAATTTACCTGTGGCAAATGGGATGTCCATCTGGAGCTCCGCCTCATGGCTGTAGAAACTAGCAACATCTCCCCTTGAACAATGTAGACCCCATTAGTGGGTGGTTGTATCTTTGGAGCTACTACCATGGTTGCCATCGCAACAGGAGGGATGTTTATCTATGGATTTGCCTTTTTCCCCAGGTTGTTTTGCTCAGTACTTTTCCTTCAGTTTGTAGACTTAGATCAGATGAGGGTCATATTACAGGGGCTCAACTGATATTATTAATCCATGTTCTGCATCTAGCTGAAAGATAAAAAGAAAAACAGAGAAATGAGGAATATCCTGCCCCTGTAGATGTAGCATGGAAACTGGAGTTCAGTTGTTTGAAAATGGTAGTAATGGATCAAGTGATTAGGATGTTAGAACTCGTTTTTAAAATTTAGCCTGGCCAGTTGCACTGTGGCCTCATTGTAAATTCATATATCTAGCTCCAGATTTCACCCCCAAAACAGCCCTGAAACTGTCTAATGTGCTTGCTCACAAATTCAGTGGGAATTGGGGATTCCAGTGATGGTGGTAAAGTTTACTTTCATTTGGGAAGAAAAATTTCTCATTCAAATTGGAAATGCTATGGTTGTCAAGCTCACAGTTACCATATTCATCATGTAGCGATTCAAACTGTTTGTTGATATTATGTACATGTACAGGAAAAATAATGAGACATCTTGATGACCCGGCCCAGGGCACCATTCATAATTGTAAAGCACATGTACATGTATATTGACAACGGTTCCCAGCACGGCAGAACGTCTAGCGCCACAAGTCGATTTTGTCACACACAGTTCCTGGACATTACACCACTCAGGAAACAGTCACTGGCATTTGTGTGCATTTTCCTCATGTTCAACTATGCGCAGCAATTTTGCAATGAAAATCACAAAATTCAAAACAACATTAAAAAGAAATTATACAATATAAATAACTATCACAAAAACGGGCATCTTGCACAGGAATGGAGACAGCGGCCTCCAGTGAGTGATGTCAGGTCCACAGGAACTATGACGTTGGTGCAACACTCCCGGCTGATGGTGAAAAGGTATGTCCCATTCCCAATCAAAAAAGCCCTGACATTTAATATGTTTCTTACAATAAATACATGCCCATTCATTTAGTTTTCTGGCCACAAGATTTGATTCTTCTTTACTCTGTTACAGATCAATAAACAGACCAGTGGTCCTCACACAAAAAAGTGCTAAATCCGTGGTGAGATATCAACAATATCAAATCGCTAATTTTGTCCATACAAGCAGTATAAACCATAAAACATTTTAAGGTTACAAGAAATTCAAATTTCACAGGTTTTCAACGATGATTTACAAATAAATAAATCACACTTACAGAATAAATCTGGCTTTTAGAGTTCATGACTTAGCGGTGAATCTAGCTCGGCAAACCCATAGCCAAATGGGTATCCACAATCATCAGCCTCGGCCGGCAACACAAAACTTCCCTCGGCCTTCTCCAGACTGGAGAATGAATTCAAAGGGCCTCAGTGCCCAAGGAGACTCCGAGCCAGAGTTGCTTGCCACTACGTGACGAGTCATTCCCCAAAGCTTGATTTCATACTTTCACAAAAATATTTAATTGGAATGCATCACACCCATTGGGAGGGTCTCAGTAATCAATATCATCCAACCAAACACACTCATCCACATGCAGAAAGTCTACATGGCAGTTCACGCTTGAAATACCTGCCTGTTTAAACCAAAAACAGGTACACTGGTGCGACATCCATGCTCCTACGAATGCCCAAAACTTTACTAGGTGTAAAAGCTCTAACAAAAGGGACTTCATACCCGAATTCACACAGTTTAAAGTGGCAACTCAACACCACAGCTTCCAATTTCGTGGAAAGTTACATTCGATTCATGACCAAGCACTAATTGGTCCATTGTACAGGCTGAAAAACTTATACACTCATATAACCTTCAACTTATACATTGTACAATCACAACGGATTTACTCAATATAACCCGTAAGTTATACAATCATAAAGAATTCAATTATGCAACATAATTCTCATGGTTTTGTTTCCAATGGACTCCTGAAATCTCCCAAAAAGTCATCGTTTGTGAGACCGGCGCATTGTGACAACTTGAGATTCTCAACGTCGGCTTGAGTTCAACAGAAGATTTCCAATTTGAATGGGCAATTTCTCTTTTCTTTGCAAATGAACATGTAAATGCAATCCTTCCCACCATCAATGGAATCTCCAATTCCCACTGAATACTACAGTAGGTCATTTGACAGTTTCAGGACTGTTTATGGGGTGAAATGTAGCCTCCTTGGTGTAGCTGTGGTCAGTCACACCAAGGGGAGCAAGGGTGAAATCTAAGGATTTCGATTCAGAGTATGTGCTACTTTGAAAAAAAAATGAATAAAAAGTGAAATTAATGGTACATAAGGCCTATGCAAGGTTCTGGGACTCTATTAATCGCCAACCATGTCCAAATATCAAAAGAGGCGATTCATGAGTACAAGGCACTCTAACTAGCCTACAGTCATGACAGTCAAATTTTAATCTCTGCTAACATTTTTTTTTCAAATATTCAATGAAAAAAACTGCACACAAACAATAACTACATGTACAGCGACAAAAGTTGATGAGACCGATGATCCTGACGTTGAAAGATCACTGACGGTCAATAAGCCTATCGGTATTTCCCATTCCATCGCCATGTTGATTTTAGTGCCCCTGCGTAAGTAAGTGAACAAAGCTAGAGGGGAGCAAATTGTCTACAACAATAACAATGGCGAGCATCCATTTGCCACATTTTACGCGACGTTGTTGCCATGAATTTGTTGCCCGCTCTTCTGAGCTTTTCCGCTTGCGTACATGAAATGTGAAAAAGGCTTGCTAAAATTCAAAGCAGGTCTAACTTAGGCATGTTAGGCCTACCTTGCTCATGTCATCTGGTCACGGACGTGACTAAGCTACCTTAGCTCTGCTGAGTGGAATGTTAGCATTCCTCTTTTTCGATTTTTGGACGGGATCATCATACTAACGCTCCACGCCCATACATATAGTAAGGTGAAAACAGTTCTCAAAAATTCCAAAGACTCACCAAAAATACCTCTACTGCCACCTCCTGGCTTCTATAAATGCCAACGGCAAACGGTTGGGGCTTCAATAATATTTCTGACTTCCAAATCTGTCAAAATCCGACCGTTTCCACTCTACACACGCACAGCACTTGAACTTTTCGCCGCCTCCTCCCATTCAAATACGGGCATGTAGAGTTTCTGGCACAATGAGTCTACGGACAAACATGGAGGTACCGGTAGGCCTAGCGGCCTAGCCCAGGTTGGAGGACGTCTACATTAACTGCAATGTAGACGTCGTCCAACCTGGACTACTTACTACTCGACGTGCTAGCGGCCTTGCGTTCCTATGTAGGCCCTACATGAAATGATGCCACAGGCCCATGGCAATATTCTTCAATTTTATTAGGCCTAATTTAAAATAGTACAAACCCTGACAAAGACAAAAAAACAAGCACAAGGATAAAATCGTTCGCAGAAGTCCTACCTTCTGTAATCCTGTTAAAACGAACAAAAGTCGCCTTGAAAAGTGAAGAATCCAGTAACAGATTTTCGCATGCATGTATTTAGTAATAGTATCATGCGCCAACAAACACCTCCCGTTGTACCATACCAGCACAGAAAATTTACCGTAGGTACGAATGACGTGGTACGGTGCGCATATGCGCGACATTCACAAAATAGACAGATACCAATTCCACATTTTGCTCGAACTTCTATGTACAAGTCAGGATAATTGACCAAAATGAGCTGACGTTGAAACAAAACTGGCACTCTGTCAATAGGCTTAGTAAAGAGGCGTTTGTTACGATTACCAGCGCATTTTGTACAGCATGCATACATGGACATGTACATGTACAGTGTATATCTACTGTACATGTACATGTAGTTTATCGCATGACAGGTGGTGGTGGACGACCGCACAGTCGTGTTTCACAAATTTTTGAAAAGGAACCACACGCGCAACAAATATCTATTTATGTATAGAAAAACCAAACGTGTTACCAGAGTCTTTTTACCAACAAAATTTATCCAATAATACATGTAGCTCAAAGTTCTTCAGCGCCCTCAAATAGAGTACAAGCGAATGGGACAAACAACAGTTGCAACAAACATTTTTCAGTTTCTCGTAAGTCAGAACCGGATCCCAAAGAAGTGCGGCTTTAGGTGTCTTTCTTTTAGTTACCTCCTATGAGCACGTCTAGTGATTTTTAGTTTCCTGAAACTGTTTGTTTTTAACATGTGGTTTCAACCAACCACGCCCCTTCACAAAGCCCGTTCCATTAATGCGGGGGTGCCATTTTTTAAATAATGATGTGAAAAGCAATTTCCAGAGTCTGCCGAGCTCAAAAAGTTCAGTTTCAATGTGCCATGTAAGTTTACGGCAAGATCTGAGATGAAAATAAGGCCATTTCTACAAAGGCGACTCTACAAATGTTTTTATTAGGAAAAAAGTAACATAACAATTGGGGCATTGGAAATGATTACCCCAAAATACAGAAGTTGAAAACAAGGCCCCGGATTGAGGAGGAGAGGAGGGGGTGGGAGAGAGCATAGGAGACAAATAATTTAAGATGGCCATTACAAGGTACAGATGTCATTAAAATATCATTACAATTTTTTCCAACAGCACCTGCGATCTCAGATGGCCTACAACTATGGGGTAAGAAAGGATAGAACGTGACAGCCCGAATCACTGGTTCAAGTTGTAGCTCAAAGTACTGGACGTTTTGTCCTCATCTGTACAATACAGCTCTGATCACAAAATATAGGTACTACTATGTCGTGGTTCTGATCGCGAGCGCCCAGAGCGCCCTCTCAGTTCCATTACAAAGGCGGGTACCAGCGATTAATAGTGCAACGTGCACTCGAGTACTCCCTCTAGTTTCGGGAAGTGCAGCTATTAGTACAACCCACAGAAATAATTTGCAAAGTGTTACGAAACCTCTCGCAAATATTAAATCTTTGAATAATCATTGCGTCTATTTATACTAGATAAAACGTCTCACATGTTAACAGTCATGAAACAGAAAGTGTTGCCTACCAAGGGTGACATTTCTGTAAATTTAGGCCGATCAGTATTTGTAAACAAACCGTGTGCTACTACGGTGCTGCTGTGAGTTTGACAACCTCGGGTACTAGGCCTAAGTGTATGATGTGTGATCGCCGGTGGAGGCCTAGGATACAGAGGGAGTTCTAACTTGTGGCAATATTTTGTGGTGTTTTCTTTGCAATTAATTGCAACTTATCGCTGTGACCAGGAAATACAGAAAAAATCTCTAACACTAGATTTACTTCTGCCATCGTAAATAAACTTTTTAAAACTGTTAACACATTTCCATTATCTACGCAATGTTTGTGATTTTATTTTGTCACTCCAAAACATCAGTTTTCAAAATTTTTGTACGAATTTGGCTATAAGGCTGGCCAACAGCATATTGACCACCACAGGACAGGTAAGTTCATCATACGAACAAAATGCTATTTCATCACAAGGGGCGATCATGAGATCTCATAAAATACCTTTTTTGTGTAAATTCCGTATTAAAAGAATATTCAAATAAAACACACAATCTTATAAACAACTTGGCTATTTACCCCCAAATAAATCCAGAAGAAAGCGTTTGATAAGGGCAATAAATGAACGTGAACACTTCGGGAACACAGCCTAATACAAACAACTGTGCAAGCATTAAATTTTACGTTGTGATCATACAAGGCACCAATGATTGCATGGATATTCAATTTCCTCTTCAGTACAAGAAGTTTAAAGACGTGGATTACCAACGAAAAATTGCGGCGATGGTCATAGGGGTGCACCCATGAAAATAAATTCCCATAGACAGCAGTGACAAACTTCACAATATTTCAAAAATACAACTTTCACAGGTGTTCAGGCTGCACAGAAAAATGATATTCCACATGTCCTCTTTCACTTTCCTTTCAATTTTTAGGGGGTTGACCAATGAATTTTTGAGAAATCCTCACCCAAAGCAGAGACCACCCGTAAAATTAAAGAAATTTCTTTGCCCTTGAAAGTAGCCATTTTGAAAATGCATCCCTCGGCAAAATAGCTCAAATAGTGCCACTTTCGGACCCAATTGCATCCAAATTGCTCGGAATTGGAAGCTCTGAGTCCGGCCCAGTGGTCCAGTCTCATATTTCTTCAATTCCTTAGTTCCATGGCTCTCAAGGCCCTCTAATATAGAATATTTTGAGTATATGATAACTTTTATTAATGAGCTCGGCGGATATATTTCGCAGCATATTCAAAATATTACTTCGGGATGACAAAGGGAAAATTTCGACATGAGTGTTTGTTTCGGTGGTTTCTCTAAGAAATCATTCTTCCCCAAATTATCGACGTGATAGCACAGCCCAATGTAAAATCCACGCAGGCGGACCCCGCAAGGGTTCCAGAAGCTTGCACCGTCAATTACTCTCGGGCTCTATGGCCCTGTTATGTTAACTCTGAACAAGAAGCCAGGAATTCTGTCCATGTAGTTTCCTGTGTCTGTCATGCTTCACTGCACTGAATCCAGCCTGGAGCCTGCACGCGATGTACGGCCTTTCCACCAATGAATTCATAATTATACACGCATGCGCACAGAACAAAGTAAAAAAACCTGGGGAAAGTTATCAAAATCGCACCTTGGCCCTGTAGAGGGGTGCGATTTTGGTCATTTTCATTTCCGTACATTTTCAACTGCCTTGCCGCCAATGCCATCTGTGTGCGTGCATGCGTGCATAATTTCAACTTCACGCATGCGTGATGCGGTGAGCAAAGAGAAACCACAGGACTGTCCCGTAAGTAACTGTATGCATCATGTGGCACGGCAAACTTCATTATAACTGATAACAGGTGATAGGATTTATCTTTGCGCAGAGGCGATATCGTAACCAATGAGGTTTAACCGAGGTGCGATTATTGCTAGTTGAAAACTTATCCCAATACCCCGCACTGACGACGTGAAACACCGTCGGCAGCTGCAATTTTTGAAGGTCTCCACGGAGGCCCGATGAAATAATAAAGACAGATGACATAATTAAAATGTTAACTGTTAAGTATTTATATCTTCAAGATGATTATTTGTGTAGGGGGGATTGTAATTTACAGTGACCAAAAAGTGTTTATTAATACACTGTATATACATTGGGTAAGGACAAAAACCGTTATATCAAGTATTTATAGCACTATTTATCTTCAACTTCGACTCATGTAGTCCGATTGTTTGCCCACGTTTTACCAGTATATGAACTGCCCGACTCGTTACAATGCATGCTTGGACAAATGCTATTGCTAGGGCATACCATGTAGCTCTATGGGCATACCGAGCGAAACCATTATTAGCTCGATTACAGACATCTAGGGGGGATATGTTGGGTAACAATAGTCTAGAGTGTGTACATGGATTGGACGGGGGGGGGGGGCTCGGCCCATATCGTGCAGAGTATCCTTGACAAGGACCTGCCAAGAAGATTCAAGTGAAATCCTAGTGAAGTCAAGCAATCGAGTCTCTCAGAGAATGCTTCGTACTTACCACCTGGAATGATTTTTATCGAGGATGATGTTGACCAGATGGTGCTCCAAATGTTTTGCTACACTTTAGTACAGAGTATTTTCATTTTTTGTCTAATTTGTGTCTATGAAAATACAAGGGCCTACGATCAAAGTCGAACTGTTCAACAAGTAGGCAGATCTGTTGGTCTCCCAAAGCACTGTATAAATTCCTCACGCGTAAAAAAACAAAAATTGTTGTGTCAGAATCGCATCATTCGTTTCATGCCAAATTTGAAATTTCATTTCAGTTCTAGGAGTATTCGCCTTCTACCAGGAAGAATCAGAACACAGTGCTACGGTGACTCATTTGTTCACGCACAACGAGACGCTGGAACGAGGAGCTACTGTGGAACAAGTCCCTTTCGCTGAATGATAATTCCATTAATAATTATTATTTCTGTGCGTGTACACTGTATTTTTATGAATTGTAATTGAATTCTGAGTTTCACTGTAAGAGTTGGACTTTTTTATTTACTGTAATCATATCAGTGTTTCATGGGTATGTTCTTGTTTTACTATCTTAACCTGTCTATACATTTTGAGTGTAATTTTAGTTTCTATATAATTTTTATTCGTCCTGCCTGTGATTTGTTTTCTCTAAAGGCCACGTAAATTTCCCCAAGAGGGATAATAAGGTTGTTCTGTTCTACTATCTGAGGTCGAAAGGCTGATTTCTTTGGCGTTTATTAAATGATCATCCGTCATCCCATTTTGTTTTATGCTGTACGTCTATGTCATTGAAAAGCAAATGGCTCGAAATACATAGGGAAAACTCAGGAAGTTGTCATTAGGCAGTATTATACAGGTATCAGTTTATGTAGTACTTTTGGGTTCACTTTAAATCAAGAGTGTAAGCAAAACAAAATTTCAAACCAACTTTTTGACCGTGAAGTTTGAGAAACTTTTGAAAAAATGGAAAACCAACAAAAACACAATACAAGTACTTCAACATTTCTGTGCAAACAAATATCCCTCCATTTTTTTGTGAAGGTTTGCCTCATTTTCAAACATTCTGGTTAACTTCCTTTCAACCGACTGATATTCCATCCATTGCCTATTCCTAGACTTTTGTAAATTAATTTAAGGCATAACAATTATATAAACAAATTTCATGAATAGCAATGAACTAACAAACTGAATTTCATCCATATCAACACCAAAGTCCATTTTGCATGTAACAACAGATGAGAAGCACACATGAAATTTTAAAGCATTTATAGAGGCATCATTCAGATACTGAACAATATTTCTGATAATTGGCAAGTACTTTCAGTGCGCTAGATGTCTGTTGCATCACCATGTGATGACATGAACGTCATTAAATTGCCTTCCAGCATGTTCTCCTCCAAAAAGAAGAATACTGGCCTCCCCAATCCGAGCCGCTATTTGCCCTGCCCTTTTGGGCCATTCCCCTTTTAATTGTGGTACAAGCCATGCCTGGTTCTGTCCATTGTGGAGGTAAAGTTCATTGACCCCGTCCAACAAGCCCCTGACTGACTTCCCTTGGATGAAGCCTCCGTAGATGACAATCACGCCGTTGACGTCCACGGCGCTGTGGTAGCTCCTGCCCGGAGGTGGCTCAACCCTCCTTCCATTTTTCAGCATTGCCTCTGGGAAGCCCGACGAAAAAAGTGCCGGCAGGGGATGCTTCACTTTGCAAACAATGTGCTCAGTCTCGTGTCGTTGTCGCCCGCCGTATACAAAAGCATATCTAGTGCAAATGCTGGGGGCAAAGGTCACCGTGTGCCCAGCACGGGATATCGTGCTGCCCGGGAAGGTGGACCACTTGAGTGTCCGGGTGTCCAAGTAGTCAATGTTGCATCCATACTTGGCATGAGTCCCAGTCTCGCCGCGACCCACGATGAGGATCGTGTGGTCATCCAGGACAGCTGATGCGTGGCTGGAGTGAGGGTCCACCGCGGACATCGTAGCCGTGCAGTCCCTCCACTGCCAGGTGGCAAGATTCAGGCAGTGAAGGAAATTACATCGCCTCTTGCCTGTTAAGTAAATGCGAGAAAAAAAGTTATCATGGGACTTCTGTGCCCAGGGTATATCAAAATGAAATTTAAAAAAAAAAGATTGGAAGTAGCTTTGTTACAGTAACCCAGGGTTCCAGCTGGAAAACTTCAATTAATAGCCAAAGTTGTAGCCAAATAATTGAGTTTAGAGCCATTCTATAAATTTATGAGCCAACATTATGTATTTTGGCTGCCAAATTTGTTTGAAAATAAAGATAAACAAAAGACATGTCATTCACTTTGATTCATTTCAGTCTGTGTGGATTGCTTTTCAAATGGATCAATTATTATAAACAGACTAACATTTAATAACTAGAATGGCAAAGCCGCCATGGCTCGCTGCTTGTTATGAATTTGAATTTCTTTCTTGTAATAACAGGAGACATCCAAGTTATACAAATATGGTTACTAAATCAAACAAGTAAATACT